TCCGATTATTGTTATCACTTCGACATCACGTTCCTATAGATACTACTTACAAACATCCTTGTGAGTAGCATCTGCCACAACATTGTTACTATGTTAAAAGGAGTAAAAAGTTGTTTGCTTTTAATAAATTATTGATATCATATCATAAGTTCTATGTATTTTAAAACTGTTTTGTTTGTTTTCATGTTACAAACTATTTATGAGAATTACTCAGATAAAATGAACTCATGTTATTTTATTCAAATTACTTATTATTATCATTACCATGATTATTATTATTATTATTGTTTCCTTGTTCAATTCATGTTTTTTTTGACCCATTTGTATTGAACTCAATTATTTATGCTTGTATAATAATACCATGGTATAGATTAGATGAACTGTGCAAATGAGTCTAATAATTTTGTAAACATTATACTAATCTACATTTGTAATTATTCTAGTTTTAATGTTAGTCATTATTCCTGCATGATTTTATCAATTTTTCATGTTTTCGCAAAATTTTTATCACATCAGCAGTGTGACTAAACTTTAATTATGAGTATTGCTGGTAAATGTTAAATCAATTGAAGACTAGATTAAGTGTCATTTTTCAGTATGATCATCGCGTTTTTGTTTTTCTTCATTATGATGAACTGTGAATCAAGAAATACATCATAAGGGGTTTTGTGGATATTTCAGTATTTTTCATAGTTGAAATCATTAGTCAATTGAAGCTAGACAGTTGAAGTTAGACATTAACACCGTTGAATGCCGGTTCAGTGGTCTGTTGGTTAAGTGCTCCGGAGCAAAGCTGGTAGGTCCTGGGCTCGAATCTCGCAGGTGCGAGATCATGGATGCGCACTGCTGAGCAGCCCCACAATAGGACGAAACGGCCTTCCAGTGCCTTTAGGTTTTCCATGGTGGTCTAGCTTCGATTAACTCATGATTTCAACTATGAAAATCAAGAAGTAGACTCTTTCAATGTTTGAGTGAATTTAATATATAGAGAATAACTAACAGGAGGAATTACCTTTGTATACTATTCAAAACATTTAGAAAGATTATGAAAAATTAATTTTGAAAACATGAAGTAAAATGATGTTGTTAAACTCATTAAATACTTAATTTTTTTACAGTAGGTTGTATATAAACTGACAAATCTACACTAACCTTAAATATTTATTGGCATTAGTTTTTATTGAAGAATTGATCAGAAAACACCTCTTCCCTTTTTTGCACGAAATTTGTTCATCCATTTTTTACGGAGCATTTATACACTGTAGCTATTGTTAGTTCGTGATGATCACTACAACTCTATATCTTTTACCTCTAACCTGACTAAACAAACTTAATTAGAGACGGTGTGAGGAATCCTAAAAATCGACTTAAGTCCTTATCATAGTTTGAGAAGACAGATAATGTACATCTATGAGAAAGAGTTTATGTTATTGTTTCTTCAGCTTATAGATAGAGTAACCTGTAGAAAACTACACTAGATTGATTAACTATTAAAAATCTATCTACACTTTGCCACATAATTGTTCTCTTTTCTATAAGTTATCTATTTACCAAGCGTTTTTCTAATTGACAGAGAACTGGCTGAGAATTCGTCACAGCTATTTTAAGCTTATCTCTACACTACAGTGTCATCAAATTGGTGCCATCTATCGTTTACTATATAAAAAGCCTTGTTAAAAGTACATTTATATATTATGCGTAGGATGTTAATAGTGTATAAAAAAACAATTGACTATTACCCATTGTAAAATAGAGATAATGTAGTGTGGAAGTAAAAACATGCTAAGTCCTAACTCTTACTTGTACAGTATATTTTACACAAAACATACTGCAGTGCATTTTTCGTCCTTATTTGTTGTATCCAAAATAAAATTAGTGACAAATCGCTTTGTTATCACCAAATAGTACCTGTCTTGTTGGCTTACATATCTTAAAATGAATCACTATTTCTGTCTTCATGTTTCATATATCATTGTAGCATCATTTAGTTAACTTTACACTGAATCTGTTTAAAAAATACTATAATGAATACGATAAAAAAGTCTTTAAAACTATTTATGAATTTATAAAAAATCCAAAAATTAACGTATCCAGACTCAGATACGTTTATTTTATTGAGAAATATCTCGATTGTTAATAATATAGAAAAGTGCTTTCAAATTATAAACAGAGATGGATGGTGACTAGCAGTGGAATCCAGTCCTATTGGGGACTCGTTAGCTGGATTTGCCAGCAACCCCGGAGTTGATGTTCACTCCGGAATTCGAACCCAGTATTGCTCGCTTCAAACGCCATAGCGTTATCCACTTGGCAACTGATTCCATCTCTGCTTATAATGGTTAGGACTTAAATTAATATCGAGGCAGTCCATACAGCATTCTCCTATGCCAACAAAAGACTGATCAATTGCAGTCCTACACAACAACAGGAAGATACAAACAAACAATATCAAATGAGCTTTGAAATCGCCATAAACTTCATGTGGATTGTAAGCAAAGATGGATAGTGGCTAGCAGTGGAAATCAGGACGCGTGTTCCGTTCTATTTGGGACTCGTCAGCTGGATGTGCCTGCATCTCAGAGTTGATGTTCACTCCGGGACTCGAACTCAGTACCTTTCACTTTAAACGCCATCGCGTTATCCACTCAGCCACTGAATCCTGATATCCACTATCCATCTTTGCTTATAATGCTTGTGAATTTAAGCTATATCGAGGCAATGCGCACAGTATCCACATATGCCAACTAGAGACTGACCAGTTGCAGTCCTAAAAACATCAATGGGAAGATTCGAACAAACAATACTAAATGAATTTAATTACTTCATATGTTTTATAATGTTCGCTATAACATTTAATTGGATTTGTTATAACTGCATTATTTCTTTTACTCAATGTTATCTATATTTCATTCAGATTATTAATCGCACAATTTCAAATGACATTTTAAGCATCACTTATTGGTCACTTCAATATTGAGAATTTTAAGAGCATAGATGGATGGTGGATAGTAGTGCAATCCAGGAAGTGAGTTTCATCCTACTCGAGACTCATCATCTGGATGTACCTGCATCCCAGAGTTGATGTTCATTCCGGAATTCCGAACAGGATGCAAATATGCTAATATGAGACTGATCATTTGCAGTCTTAAACATCAATAGGGAGACTCAAACAACCAATAAAAAGATGAATTAAGAGTTTAATCTTACTGTACTAAAATTCCTCAAATTATGTTATAATTTCTAAAAAGATGTATTTGTCTTATTACTTGACAACAGAGTTGATGCATAAATTTCTATTTATAGTTGTAGGATCTAATGTAAAACGTTTTAAAAAGAATGTTCTTTATTCATACTATGTTTCAGTTAACATTTCTGAACTATAGTCCTCAGAAAACTTCATTTACTTCAATGCTGATTGTCAAAAAACAGACCAAATCAAATTATTACCATTCAAGATCAACCACTTAGAATTTTTATCTATAAAACTATCAGTGTGTATAAACCAAATGCCTATGGTATCTATACACTGACCATAGTTTACTTTAAGTTCATGTTTTCCATTATTCAATAACCATCATCCACTTTTATTTAAGCACATGTTGTGCTAAAAATAAGAACTGATTTCGATAGATTAACGCTTACGTTTTGACTTAAAACGTTTATTTCATTTTCTAATATAGACATTATCTTTGTTTTCGTTGAATTAATTCGAAACTCTTCATTAATCTTGATCTGCAGCATCGCTTCCCTCGCCGACTCAACCAAACCCAGAACCTTCACATTTCGCACGAAGTTGTTGTGTAATTCTTGATTTTTACAATGATTCTCATCTTTGTAATAAAAACTGATCCTCAGTTGTATGACCTATGCATCAAAAACCAACATATCAATATAATATTTTCATCGTATTACGCAATTAGGTTGAATCCACCTACCTTGTGAAATGTGTAAATACCTTGTAGACTATAAAAGGAGGACCAAGAAGATTTTCGTAAAATTTATTAGTCAGACTAACATAAGTAATATTTGAAGCAAGGTCTTTTATGAATCAATACTTAAGAGAATTAGACAATACGCCACACACATTTTGTAGTAGTTCTGTGTAAAATCTATTTTCGTATTTTCTTTATTTCAGTCATACGTGATATTCACTAATTATTCGTCAATATTAGTAAAATCTATATACAAATGGTTAGACTTGATCTGAGTGATTATAATTATCCTTAGAAAGTGAATAAACTCGTTATTTCCATCAGTCTTGTCTTTTTTCATGAATAGTGCTATTTTCAATGTTTCCCTATCTTACGTACCATTGTTTCGCGGTTATAATAACATCATGCATAGTGTATTAAACAGGTGCTACTTTATTCTAGTATTTATCGAACTTAACAGTAGTATCAACAGATAATTCAACATATAGGCCAAATTCGAAACTTACTACGATTAAACCAATGGTTTATGTTTTTCAGCTTCAACTTATAACCGCTTAATCAATCAACTAAAACAAATAACCCTCTATTTTTCTATGATTTTCGGTATCATCTCTCATCTTTTTTTTGATAACCATCATCATAATCACCATATCTTAAACAAATAGATTAAAGTGAAATAAAAAGTGATTGAGTTACTTAGAAACAATTATAACTAACTAATTATTAGAAATTCAATCTCAAAATTAATGTCAACAACATTTTGAAAAAGGTGACAACATAATTTGACACAATGATAAAATGATGATTATTAAATAGTTAATACGAAGAAAAAATAGTAAAATTAAATTGGAACATCAAATTTTACGAATTTCACAATTAAATAGTTGACATTATATTGATGAATTCAAATAAAGTACAAATTTTTCGAGTTTTGTAAAACAATACAGAAAGACATATAGTTATGAGGTGGATGGGGTGGGGGGGTGGAAAGTCAATGGGTACACACGTATAGGAACTTAGTTATTTCTTTTATCTGAACTCACATTATCAAGATTATTATCCACATCATTATAATTTATTGACTTTTTTGGGATTAGTTGAGTCAGAATGTTTACCTCTGGTTCTTTTATGTATGTTTTTTGATAAATGAAATGATTGATCTGCCTTGTTGTGGTTATGTTCGTGTTCATGATAATGTTCATGATCATGCTCGTGGTCATGTTGGTGATCATGTTCGTGGTCGTGGTCGTCCTCGTGATTTTCGTGGTTATCATTATGATGTTCATATGGATGATGGTTATCTGTTGCGAAGTCTAAATTATGCTCTGTATCATTTGTTTCATCAGACTCAGTGGTTGTTTCGTACGGTTCATTTGAAGTAACTTCTTCAACCGATGCTGTGTCATGGTCAGATTTTATAATGGGTTCGGAATTCGTTGATGTAGATGACATTTCTGTAACTGTAAACTCCCCAGTTAAATGTTCGGTAATATCTAAGCTTGTTGTATTAGCTTCTGCTTGTAGAAGATAATCTATGATATCCCATTGAAGAATTTCATTTTCAATATTAAATGAAAGAAAATAATAAACAGATAGATCTTTCGAAACTTAAATTAACTTATACATATTTCTGAAACTAACATCCAGTTTTACATGTCAGCTATTGTATATAAAAGTATGAGCTCAAAAAGTCTAATTTTATAATATCAATAATCATTGTTTATAAAATAGTGAGAAAAGTTCACACAACTCAGCACCTACCAAACAGTCTTACATTGACTATCATATCTCAGAAAATACAAACCAGCCTCCAGCTGAAGAGAAAATTAGTAAAAGACGTTGGAAGTGGATAACACATATATTTCATAAATCACCTAACTACATCACAAGCCAAGCGCTTACCTGAAATCTTGAGGGGGAACAGAAAATAGTAAGACTAAAGAACACATTACGCTCAGAATTTGAAGCAGATATCAAAAGAATGAATAAGAATTGGAAACAACTGGAAAGGATTATCGAGTTAAAGAGTTCAATGGAGAATGATGGCGGACGGCCTATGCTCCTCCATGAGGGGTAACAGGCGTGAAGAAGTAATATAAACCCAAGAATTTTTTTAAAGACGAATGACAATTTTATTTTTCTTAGTTTTCAATGTTCAATTTAAGTCATCCAAAGTGATAATAAATTTACTTTTGAACTATTTCAAATTTATTTATCTTTATAAATAATTTAAATCATCAAATGCCGTTAACATCTCTATATAACTGAGTGCATTTAATTAATAAATAGTCATAGCGAGTCATATCTTTGACCATCATCAACATTTATTTATTCCCTTGAGTTGTGCAAATCTGTTTTCTATTGTTTAAATTTCAAAGTTATAATACCAAGCAGGAATATTCACTTTTTTCAAACGACTGACATTCTTCAGATACGCAATCTTATCTCATTTTATCATCATATAATGCACAATAAGAATAGATTGTCAACACTAGAAGATTTAAAAATTTCCCTGACATTATCGATTCATTCCCTCTGATATCCAAATCGATCTTTTGTAAAAATTGATTTCCTTAGTAATTCGCTTCTTTTATATCACTGTCATCGGTTATCTGATTTAGTTTCAACAAGTTTTTATGAATTTTATTCAAAAAAGTCTAAAGTTAATCAATTATTGGATAAAATGTGACCGATTGGTAAACGTTCACTTGATCGGACTATGGGAGCAAGCGCTCAATTGAACTGATATCACAAGGGACAAGACAGTTGCCCAGTAGCATAGGTTTTATCCTCTCAACAAAATAAGGTGATTAAGATTCAATTAACAAATAAGCAATTGAAAGATATGGCAACTATAGGTTATTCACTCTACAGCAGAATAAATACCTAACTATTAGTCATATTTCTTACCTCACTATATCATTATGTGATTACTCTCAACAAATATGAAAAAAAGCAACTCTTCTAAAATGCAACTGAAATCATGTATGTAAAGTTTACATAATTAATGACTATTTATATTTTAATGTTAATTTCATTTCTGAATTGTTTGCTTGGATCTTCTCATTAATGTTTAGAACTGCAATTGACTAGTCTCTTATTGACAAATGTGCATCCTGTGCAGACTGCATTATAGACAAAAATGAATGGCGGCTGCCAGTGGAATCCAGGACGCGTGTTCCGTTCTATTTGGAACTCATCAGCTGGATGTACCTGAATCTCAGAGTTGATGTTCACTTTGGGACTCGAACCCAGTACCGTCCTCTTCAAACGCTATCACGTTATCCATTTAGATACCGAGTTCTTGTAGCCGCTAGCTTTTGGCATATAGAGCGTCCTGGATTCCACTGCTATCCACTATCCATTTTTGTTTTATTATTAATATTAAACTTTTCATTACCGAATTCCTTAAATTGCCTTCTGAGAATTGTTTAAAAATTATTTTCATTTTGAGGTCGGTTTAATTCGTTCCACTAATTTCTGATAATATCTCTAGATATCTCTAGATAACTGGATTCTCTGATGAGCCATTGATTCCAAACATAATTTTAAATGTCACTTTAAACTTCTAAACTGTCTAAAATTTTTACTACTACTATTTAAGTGAAATAATGAAATTAGTGATTATTCTTTTATGACTATTGTCTACTGTTTATATATATATATATATATATATATATATATATATATATATATATCCACCGCACAAGTTGGCATTTATCCAAATTTAACAACATGATGGATAAAATTTGAAGCTTTAGGTTTTAAGTTTGAGTTCTAGTGTGAATACATCAACACTAATATTCAGATGCATGCAACCAGAATTTTTTTAAGTAGGATGAAGCGCACCTATTTGATTCGACCGCTGCTAGTCCTTATCTGGAATTAGAACAGGTGATTGGGTGTAGCTGATAAGTTTTGTTAATCAACCTAGGTTTCGTGCTAATTGGGACTCACTATTAAGGAGTACCTATAATCTTGAGAGAATCTATACTCTCTGTAGGATTTGAACACATCACCCATCTCCACAGTCTGAGACATTATCATTAAGCTATTCATGTTGCAGGTGTTCTCCAGTAAGTCCGCGATTTTTACAGCCAGTTGATCACTGAATAATGATTAATATAATGTCCATCACTTCATTAATGATGTTCGATACAAATCGATCAACACCGAATAAACATGATCAATCAATTGAAAACTTAGTAATTTTGTTTTAGTACATTGAATTTGTAGAAATTTTTGAATTTTCACCAGGAAACACTGGACTGCTATTTCGTCTTAATATGAAACCGCCTAATAATTCTTATTATATACAGTTAATATAATCCATGAAATGTCAATTATAATGTAAATTCACGGCAAGTTTTTTTATTTGTTTTTAAACATAAACACTTTGAAGAAAACAAAACTAACCTGATTGTGTTGTAGGATTTGATGTAATAAAATTCACATAAGTTATTAAACATAATAGAAATATCATTTTCCACATTGAATATTATTTATATAGAAAATAGTAGTAGAGCTAAAAGTTAATCAAAAATATTTATTAGTTCAAATGCTTAATTACTACTTATAAATGGATGCAACAAAATCTTTTAGATAGACTAGTAGGATACATCAACTATATTGAATATTAACAAGACAAGCTTGAACGTGAAGCCATATCTAAGGAGATTTTAGCTATATGTTGTCCTAGATATGGCTTATCCATTTTTCAATATTTTTTTATAATTTTATTTATCATAAAAAGGTGACATCAGCTAACGAACCTTCGGAAGGACATTGAAAATTAGGTTATTAATTTGTCTTAGTTATTAACTCCACAGAAACATCCATGATCATTATCTCACCCACAGGATCCACCTCAAGATATTCAGATTGCTCAGTAAATATAGTATTTCAGACTTTTAAGTCAAAAATCAAGAGTTTAAAATTTCGAGCTTCAATCAAACTGTAATGTAACATGATTTATTCTTCCTGTTCTGACTTGGTTAGAGGTTTCATGAATCAAAATTTTCGAATAGAGAATAGAGAAAATTTCTCTTAAAGCTTGTCACTTACTAGTCAACTAGCAAAATTTATATGTGCGATTTTGTGCAAATTTGCATGATTTCAATGTTGATTCACAAACTAACATCAACATCACTTTATCAGTAAAATCCTGAAACTAAAAGATAGAATTTAATGTATAAAAGGGATTTTTGCATAAATCAGCATGAGGGTTGTAGGGGTCGTTGAACTTTATTGAGGCCACAAACCAATCTAATTGAGGCAAACACTAAAAGTCAAGAATCACTAGACAGCTGTTTCCTCTTAGTATGCGGATGTCCACCAGTGCCTATCCACGACTCTACAACAGAGGATCAAACTCAGGGTTTCGGCTGTCTCACTATGATTAGTTGATGTAAATTAGGGAGGTTTAGTGACTTCCACAAACTCCTCCGTACAAACAGAATATATTCGCCTACTACTGACTAACTAAACTCCGCCTATAGCCCCTCCAGGGGCTAATGTCGGCCCCAAGCCCTAATAAAGGAGTAGGGTTAAGCATGGGGTTAGCGACCCCATCCCGTAGAAGACTGACTCGCTAAAAAAACGCCAAGTAGAAAAAAATACTGACTAACTACGAGAGAAAATTTCGGGTGTATTAATGGGAAGTCATGAACGATGGAGTTAAAATATGCAGGGTTTGATAAATGTACTGATTGAAGAAAATCATAGATATTCGCGCAATAATGTTGATTAACTAAAGTTCGACGTGTAAACCTGTTTGGGTGATCCTGAAAATTTCTCGCAGTAGACATGATAAGCTCAGGAAACACTAAGAAGCATTTTATTCAATCAGCGTTTGATTAGAAGTTTTACTGGAAACATCATGAAAATGAAAACTCATATGTAGAGTATCTGATTGGCTGATTACTACACTGCTACTATGGTTAGTAGTATTCTAGTATTTTCAAGAAAACCCAAGGACTTCTAAAATACTATAAAAACCCTATATTTTCTGTACATAAATGAACCTTTGGAGTAAAGTGATTCTCGTATATTTTGTGCCTTTTCTCTCTTCTTCAAGTTGCTGTGTACATTTAGCTTGAGGGTTACGAGAATAGCTTAGGATCCAAATATAGCGTTCAATCAGCAAGACTTATCAAAACCAATGGATGTAGGCTCAGAAGTTTGAGTTCGATGTTTAATGACAGGGTCTTGGATGAGAATTATTGAGGAATGTCATAGGAAGAATAGATAGAATTTCGATGATTTCATGTTTTCAATGGTTGCATGACTTAGATAGGTTTGTTGTCTTAATAATATACAAAGTGTTCACATTTAAATTGCACATATTATTGTTGTTCAAAACTATATTTACTGAAATGTTCAAGTAAGTAGTACATGAGTAGTGAGTCACTGCTCTTTTTTGTTTTGATCATAAATAGCAATATCACATATATATTGCTCTCATTTTTAACCGTAGTTGTTTGCTTTCTCTATTGACTTTGTTTGTTTAGTAAGTCAAAAACATGAATATATTCTAAAAGAAATACAGTATCAATCAATAAAAGCGTTTTATCACTCCGTTTAAATGCGGTTACTTTAATCAGTTTTTCAGTCGGTTTATAAAAACTTTCGTTAAATGAAGAATCTTAGTTAATTAATAAAGAGACAAATAATACAATCTTACATATTAATATATATTAAATATACTTGATAAAAGTATGGTGGAAATGACAAGCCAATTAGAATCAAGAAACTGACTTCTGAGATTTTGCGCTAAATTCGAAAATGAAAGATTTTCGTCACATATCAAAACTAGAAGTAGAAATATCTTTACACAGTACTCAAAACGTTTAAAATTATAACAAAAAGATCGTCTTTCATTATCAACTCTAGGACTGAGTTCTACCGAAATTCATTCATTCTTAATTTACCTCCTTTCATAAAGTGACTAATAATTAACATTTCTGAAGTAGATCATTCGTTTCCTTATTGAAGTAGGGCATTATTTACATGACGTATACATCAGGACAGCAGATTTGAAAGTGTTCACATAAATATAATCCACTGAAATTATATGAGAAATAAATCTCATGGTTAAAACCATAGTCCCTTACAAGATGAACGGTGCATACTCTATTTTTAGCAATTGCAAACAATATACACATATAACATGTGTGTGAAAAGATTGTAGCTGTTCAAAAAAGAGTTATCGGTCAAATTACTGTATTTGAGGAGTAATTTGTGAGACAAGTTACTGTATTGATAACTTTATATTATTAAAAATTACAATTTGTAGTACTGGTTTAGAAGTGTCTGGAGAGGTATATTACCGAATTCTCGTTATATAATAATTATTTTGGTACGAATAGATGAAATACAAACATGAAAATTGAAAAACATGTACACACTGTTATATCCCGTGAAGATTTATGAAGGGTAACTTTGAGAACTATTTATGAATCAATATGATATGTATATTTCCTATTGTATAATTGTTAAGTAACTAAACTATTCATATTCGTGTCCCCCTTATGATAAGCTTTATTTTGACCCATAGACTATTACTGTACGATTTACCATTCCTGAGTTATCACCAATCTATCAATTACTTTTCCTCATATTCACAGCCACTTTTGGCCAAATCTTGTACAAATGTTATTTTCTATTTTATGTTACGATGTGGTCAGTTTGTTTAATATATAAACCCAGTATGTTTGAGAATAATGATTTATATTACAGAGGCTGTTATTGGTGTTTTGGACTTAACTGTCTGGGCTAGGCAGAAAGCAGGACTGATAAGTGCTCAAGACTGCTCATACGGCTTTCATGTATCATTGCTCTGATTGATAATTCACTTATCTCTGATTGCCGGGGATCATCACGTCATATATTAAACAGGGCATGTACGCACTCACTCGATATAACACACACAGAGGATGAAATGTAAAACATTATCATTGAATATTTTGAAAATTCAGATTAATAAGATGAAATTTGCTATCATATATTTTGGGATTATTTAGATAATTAATTAATCTTAAATAACCATATACTTAAAGAATCTTTAAACACCCACATCCATAATTATTCTTTTTCATAGCAATTCATCTTTAATATGGACGGAAACTATTCAAATTTAGCCGTTATACTAAGTTTATTTGTGATCTGGTTTTATGAAACAGTTGATTTTCAACATTACTTACAATTTGTTTGAAAACTATTATAAGCCAAGAAACACTGGACACTGATTTGTGTTCTTTCGTTACTGTTTCCTAAAGATCATCCACGATGCCCCCCAACGCTAAATAAAAACCTATTATACTCATTTATTTCACCTGTTAACTAAAAACCAGTCAGCTTACTCCAAATATCAATCATACTTTTAAAGGTCAGATAGAGTTGTGCTGTAGTCCTCATAGAAAATTATCACTCATTTAATTACATACATTTGATTGAAGTAAACTGTTTACTAAGTAAGCGTCAATGTTGACAAACGATATACTATAGCTCAATACATTTCCATTTCATATTTTCAATTAAACATATTTCCAAACAATATCACATAAGTAAAAACCTTGAAATGGCAAATATTGATTACATATCCGGATTCAATAACTTTGTCTATAATTCGTTGAGCTTTTGAAGCGAAATATACTAGGCTTGATTTTCAGTGTAAGCCTCTACCTTTGAATAAATTTACAATCAGTTGATGAGTCCTAAATAAAAAGGAAACACATCTACTAGATTCCACTATTAGCCATATGCTAAATATCACATTATCCTATTTATAATGATACTGTTTAATTATTCTAATAGAGTACAATTGATCACATGCAAGAGATCAGGTGGGTTCATGAATAAATAAATTTATACAGTAAACAAAGTATTAATCTAATGGATACATGTAAGTAAACTGTATTTGTTTATTTATTTATTTTTGAATTATTCGTGTTATGTATACGTTGTTTACCTAACTATTTATTTATATATTTGGTAAGTAAAATGTAATTTACATATAACTCAACCCTACAAAAGTAGAAACTGGTGACTAATTAATCTTAAATTTGTCTAAATTTTGCTTTACTTTGAGAGTTTATGTTATATTGAATAAGATATATTTGGCATTTACTATGGTTTAGTCTTGAATATAGGGTCAACCTATAGGTTAAGTTATAATGATTTGATCTAGGTACTTACAATAAACCAGGAAACATCAAAATGGTTTTTCTTAATGATCTCCCAACCTTATATATAAGCATTCAACCATATAAACATCTCTCATATTCTTTCATATTTATTACTGTCCTACTAACTTCCATTGATGAGTAGATTACTGATAGTAGGTTATAAATTATGCATTACTTACTTACTTACGCCTGTTACCCCTTATGGAGGAGCATAGGCCGCTCACCAGCATTCTCCATCCAACTCTGTCCTGAGCCTTCCTTTCCAGTTCTTTCCAGTTACTATTCAGCCTTTTCATATAGGCTTCTA